TTGCAAGAGGATTAGGAATAACATTAGAAACCGCCAGGTAAAGCCCAGCAGAAGTAACAAGTGATACAGGCAGGGGAGTACAGGGTGGTGCAGAGCTCTGCAGGTGCCTTGGTTAAATTACTCACAACTGCTGCAGTTAAAGTTCTCCTTTGAGGTTTTTGTACTCATTTTCCACCATCCTCTTTATGGTGGTCATGTGCCCAATTGTCCAATACGTATCAATAATCTGTTTGGTGAGGTTTTTCATTTTCCAAGATTTTCTAGAGCGTAGCCGCTTTTTTTTAATGAAATCAAAGGATCCTTCATGGAGCTATAGCCCCGTTCCTCTACGTACTGGCCAGTCTTCCTTACCGGATGCTATTGTGTGTTTTTTGACAAACTTGCTGTATCATAAATTCTGTCCAAATTTCATAATAAGTTGGCTAAGGACGTCCCCTTTTTCCATGTTGGGTATATTCCCATAGCTTTTTGCTGAGAGGGGCTCGTACCCTTTGACTATGTGCTTTATGCTGATCAGGCCACACACCGCAAACAGCTGCTGCAAGTACTTTCACCAAGTCTGCCCAGAGAAATTTAACACTCGTGCTTCAGTGCCTCTCACTCCAAAGGTCCCAGGTGAACTCACCCGCTGCAGCAGTTGGATGCTCGGAGATGAGAGGATCCAAAGGTGATGGCCTAGGGTCCCACCTGGGTCGCCAAACTGTTAAGGAGGTTTCTTCACCGTAGGTTTCCCACAGCAGAGTTTCAGGCTTTAAATCCCATGAGATAATTTATTTGGATGGTACAGCAGTTGTAACAGCTCAAGCTGGGTGCCTCCACGGAGGGACCCTGAACAAAGAAGTTCCTGGGCAATTATACCCTTACAATCTAAGTTCACCTCCCCTCATGTGGCAGTTCAGGCCAATAGTAATATTAGGGTCTAGGGTCTTCATATTCTTCATTGGGTCCTTTCTTTATTTCTAGGCAGGCTGCTTCTTTTATCTCTAGGGTTGCTGCCTCTGCTGATGGTTGTAGCCTCTTTTATCTTCCAGCTTAAACCAGCTTTGGGGCCTTCTTTTACTTAGCTAGGAAAGAGTTCAGCAAAAGTTCAATATATCTAGGTGAAAGTCATTGCTTGTGGCCTACAGTTTTGGCAAATTTAGCCACTTAAACTAAGTTAGTTATGCCAACATTTAAGCTAAGCTTAACAACTACTATTTCCCAACAAATATTTCTGAGCTATCTACTAAGGCTGTCCTATAAATCCCTTTCATTTTTTCAGCAGCTAGTAAAGGCTTTTCAGCTTAGAATCTATATAAGCTTGGATTTATATGACTTTGGTCATGTAGTGAATGTAATAATCAAATATGGTAGCAGGACAAAGGAATGACTGTTCGAAGGCTGGTGGAGGAAAGAAGAGGAGCAAATAAGTTCACTGTCAATCAGAGTTGTGACCAGAAGGAGCTTTGCTCTTAGCTCTGGGAGGATACTTGATTATCTTGTCACGCGAAGGCAAGTGCTCTGTGTCTGATGACAGCAATGAGAGAACTGCCTAAAAAAAGAATGGATGTGTTGATATTCCTGGCTGTGCTTTTTCTCTGAGGCCTAAGTGAGCTTTTCAAAGTGTGTGAATTAACATAGGTCTGTTGAGGGATGTATCTCTGGTTGCTGCAGTTGTACTCCCTACATGCTTAGTTCGTTCTTTCGGCTTCATTCTTTTGATACAGTGTTTGTTCTGAAAAGTGTTTCACTGTGACCATGTTACTTAATTCTGTTTATGATAAAGCAAGAAAAAATGTCAACACCTTTTAAAAAGCAACCAAACAAATAATGAGCAAAACCATTCATTAGGCTACAAAAAAGCTCTTTTCCAATCTAACACAGAAGCTTTCTTGAAGCACCTAATGCAGGTTGTTGTATTCAGAAGAGCATTTTTTTCTACGTTTGACTTACTGGTAGCATCATTTTCTTACAGACAGCTCTCTTAAATCTGCTTGACTTTTTTACTTGCAGTTTAATGAGACTTCTAATCCATGAGTTCCAATGGTCTACCAGGTCTTCAAGCTGGTTTGTGAGTGGCTCATTCTTTAGAAGACAGACCATTGCATGTCGTGAGATCCACACGCTGGCACTTAAGTTCAAGGAGAATATAGAACGGGTGGCAGAAGTAGTGGAATTGGGGCATTGTTTATTACCCTAATATATTTAGGTTTATTCTTCATATTTAGTGATTTAATACTGTCATAAGTACACTTTAATGAAAGACCCCAATGAGGAATACAGGAATACATGGTACAAGTTTAATGTATTGTGACTAGGAGGAACGTCTGAAGCAGAGCAAAATGTCTTTTCTCATTGGCTCTTTTGCCTCGATTGGTCAACAGATATGAAAGATTCCAGTCTTTAGTACAGTAGATACTGAAGATCCTTGTGTAAGAAACAATGCTGTTGTATATGTATGCTTTTATAAATAGGAACATATCAGTGGTCTGATGGAGTTAATGAGCTTGTTCTTTTGCTGTCAGGAACTGCAATGTAGTTTTAATGTCATCTTCAAGATCTGTAAAGTCATTAGAATTAAAATTGTTCGACTTTAAAATGCAAGCCTAATGAAGTGTTTTGTTTTTATTAGCCATGGTATTTTATGTAATGCTGGCTGTGTGTTTAAGGACTTCACAGTCATTAGCTCAGAACATGCTACTTCAGTTAGCCTTGTATTTTAATTTTAGGAGCTGACACAGTTAAGGGACTAACTTCTGCCTACCTTGCTTTATTTTTCCTGCTTGATACAAAAACAAAGAAAAAGGAAGAAATAAACAATTGCTCCAAACATATTAAGATTTGCATGAGAAATAATAACTGCTGTAATTCTGTGTTGATGTTTTTGCTCACAGAGGAGGAATTATTCAGTAATTTGTCCATATTCAATGAAACGTGTGTGAAGTGGCAAAGGAAAACTGGAAGACTGGGAGTGCAGGAAACGTACACAGTAAGTGGGGCAGTATTTGAGATCAGGAGTAGCTTTGTCCTGGTTAATTCTGGTGACTCAACAGTGGAGATTTGTTTTGTGGGTTTTGTTTGTATGATCATTTGTCTTACTCTTCCCAGTGAACTGCCTAGAAACCGAAAGGTGGTTGGGTTAGGAAAGAAACAAATCCCTGTCCTCAAGTTAGGTGAAAACCTCAAAAACTGTTGGGGTCCCATTCCAGTAAATCACTTAAACATCTGCTTGCAACTGTAAGAAGCATTTCAGCACAAGTTTATGTTTTAGCAAAATTCCGTTGTAGAGCTCAAGGTCACATTGACATAGAAAACATTGCAAAACTTGGGCTCTGTCCCTATCTGTGATGCAAACATTTCAAGTAAACAGTGTATCACTTGCAGATACTGGATGTAACTTGGTTTAAAAATGCAAGGTATATTGTAATACTGTGCCTTGTGCAAGAGATTCAACCATCTTATTTTTGAATGTTTTAGAACTTTTTTTCATGGAAATTGAAAGCAACCTTGGTAAAAACTTTTAATTCTTATGTTTGTATATGGAAAAAAAAAAAAGGTAAAGATAAAAATTCTCAGAAACAAATAGTTCAGTCAGTATTATTGAAAGCCAAAACAAAATGATAAGAATTCCTGTGTTTTGAAAGTGTCAACATCCCAAGAAAGGTTGTTTTTTTGAGCATGTAGAAATAGGGAAAAAAAAAGAGCATTGTTTAGGATCTCCAGAGTGGGTAGGTTAATGTGGAAAATACGTTTCAAGGTTGAATGATAATTTTGGAAAAGAACTTGTCTTTCTCCTGTGTTATAAACCAATGTTTGAGCGTTTTTATTGAACACTGCTTTTTATTGAGCACTGCTCACTGCTGAGATGGAAAAAAACAAGTTCCCAATTACCCTAAACAATTTCAAACCAGTACTTTTCATATACTCATTGTTAACTGGCAAGCTGTGGATCTCAGGTGTAATGTGCATGTGCTTTTGCCTGAATTCAACTATCTGCAAGGCACTTCAGAATATTTAAAATTGATGATGATGTAGGCATAGCATGCATGCAGTAAAGTTCAGAACACAGTCTGGACTGCCTTGATCAAGCTCAACTAAATATTTTTTTTCTGTCCCTTCATGTTGTACAAACAACAGGTTTCTTTTTTACTGCACTGGTATGATCTTAGGGAAGCTTGTCTTTACTGTTGTTCGGCGTTCAGTCTTATTACTGTTTCTGTAGGGCAAGGGGGAAAAACTAGAAAAGAGGAAAGAAAACAAGCAGATGTAGTTTCCATCTGTGTGCTGTAAACAAGAAAGAATATTTATTTACATCTTACTATTTGTGGTGGAGGTGTTTGTAGGGTCCACATTATAGATTCCTTCTATTTGTTGTAGAAATGAATGAATAAAATATTCATAACAGTCAGAAGAAATCAAAGATCTAATTTATTAAGCCATCTTGTTGCATCAAAACAGTTAGGCACAAGCCTGTTTTTTTTTTATTAGCTGATATTCTAAAACAGATGTAATCCTAGGTTCTCAAGGTTTAATTGAACTAGTATTCTGAATTTTGGAGAGCCACAACCAATTGCACCATTGTTTTTGTTAATCCTTCGATAGTTTCACATACTGGGCCAAAGATGGGATGAGAAGACGTTCTCAGAAGATGCAATATTTAACATCACTACAAGTGAAGATAATCCAAAGGTGTGTTTAGATCTCAACTCTGGCAGTAACTATGTGGTGAATATTACTACCATGTCTTCCACAGACGTCGCTGTCTCAGTTACAGTAGCAGTTCAAACAAAGGGTAGGTTGTGTTTTGTATTCTCTGTACTTACAGAACTTAACTGTGCTGCAGAGTTAACTGTTTTGAGTCTAGCAGACAGGATAGCAGGCTGTATCCTAGACTACGTAATTCTTTATGCTGACTGCACAAACGTAGCCGTCATCAGCATCCTCTTCTTCTGCAAGGCTATTTTTTTTCTACTCACTGTGGCCATTGAATCTATGAGCAAACAGAGCAGTGGCAGGAAATGCCCTTCATAAAGATTTGGCAAACTTGCTTCTTCAGGATTTGTCTTCTG